CTATTGAATATTTGTAAGTAAATGCTAAGATAGGTGGCTCGAATTACTCTCGATCTGATTTCACTTAGTTCTTTTCAAAAGAATAAATCTACAAAGTGAATTTTCCTCTCACTCAGATTGATCCATCACGTGCCGTTGATGTTTGGTTCAAGAGGGTCGATGATGAGCATCGAGATACGGTTATGTATGTGGCGCATATTATTGAGGCAGGTGCAGATCGGTTGAAAGCAGCCGACAAAACGAAATTGCGAGATGATTTATCGAGTAAATTACGTGAATACAGGTGAATATTCTGCTTGTATTTAGGTACATTGTAGATGAGTTGAATTTATGAGTGGTATGAATCGTATTTTATTATTTTATAATTTCACAACGTCGAATATCTTGTTTTATAGTCGATTGCGATTCTATTTTGACGAATAAGCTTTGTAGTTCATGAAATAAATAGTAAAGTTTCTTCACTGAAAGCTAAATATGATTTTAGCAAGTGTGTGCAATAATTAATACGAATACGAGTTTAAGGGTGGACGAACGCCACATCCCGAAGATCTATTGGTTCTTTTCACGTCTGTACGATTGTGACGATGCTGAACTGCTCAACTTCAATAAACGATTCCTCAGCGATTGTTCGGGTCGAATTCATGAAAGCATTTATGGTTCAGAGAGAACGTTCGCTTCATCGCAAAATACGTTAGTATTGTATTTTCATTTTCGCTTTGATTGTTTCATATTGATTCCGTTTGTTATCCCTTGAAATCAGTCATAATTTGTTACATCCGGATGAGCGATTTTAACCAAACATCAGATAGTGAATTTCTTCACTCAAAAGTTCGTCCAGCCATTAATTTAATGGGAATTATTTTTTAAGGCGGTGATAGTCGCTTTTTGATCTTTAAATGTGAACAGTTTGAAATGTTTGCTTGTAGCGGAATTGTTTTGATTGTTCGATGAATCGTAAGTGAAATGTGATAAAATATAATTACTATTGTAAATATTCAGTAGTGAGTTAACATCATCGCGATTGGTTCGTATGATTGCATCGATCGGTGAAATCGTGCAGTGCCATCCATCACTGATAACCGAGGATCTATCGGAGTTGATGCAATTCATTGTCGCATCCGATGTGATTCGAGAGAAAGTCACTCAAATTGGTTTGTTCATTCATTGTTGACATTCACTCTGATTCACCTCTAAAATTGAGAATCCGACAATTTTAATAATGTCATCAAACGACATCGTAAATGCGAGGTGATGTTTGCATTCGTCAAATACAATTGTACTGATGTTGCTCTCCGAACATATGTGATTTTTTTGTCCAGGGACCATATTGCTTAATTTCTCAGTTGAGACTTACACTTTTCGGTGTTTCATTTTACTCAAATAAACTTTGAGGTGATTTACGTGTGCTTATGGACATTAATAGAGTGGAAAAAAAACATGAATATGTAATGAATTATGAGTGAGATGAATGATTCGTTGAGTTTCTCAGTAAAATACATTTGAAATGATCGATCCATTTCATTTCAGTTTCACGAAGGCAAACTCCATTGCCAACACAATCGCAGGCCGGTGTAGCCAACACGAATATACATACTGTAACCGAGGTTTGCGTTTTCATTTCATTCTCTTCAGTGTTCATTTGCATTGAATTTTTTCGTTTTGCTGAAATTGCTCACCTCATGAGACTGCTGCATTCACTCACATGATGCAACACAGTTTGGCAGTGGACACTCGAATTTCAGTGAATATTCTGATCCATCGAATAAGATTATTTTCAGGCAACCAATGCAAATCGAGCATCCTCTGAAGCTGGCCCATCTCAAGGTACAACAACAACTCAAACAAGTCGACCGTTGAGTTCACAATCGACGTGTCACAACACTGCAGGCACAACGACGACGAATGCGTTCGTGCAGAGTTGTTTCACTAACTCAGATCTTTTCTCGTCTGCGGTTCGAGCACGCGCCGTTCTGACGATTGGAAAAATGTGCCTCATGGTGAGCGGATTTTTTCTTCAAAATGAGAGTAAGAAAGATAATTTGGATACCAATTTGATAAGATACAATGTAACGTTGAACTTCGTTATTTTTCATATTTTTCAAGTGATCTAAAACTATCATTATACCCTTAACGAGGTAATGATCGTATCCTGTGGGATGTTGCTATTGCATGACTGTCAGCAGTAAACTTTTGTAATTAGATGAATTTACGCAGTGTCAAAATTGAAATTCTTTTGGATGGGAAATGAGTTCAAGTTGCGTTGGTGGTCAATCGGTCTATTTTTTCAAGAATTTGACTGAAATTTAGTGAATGTTCCAGTGAACAAATTGGTTCGCCATATCAAAATAGATTTTTTAGGATGAAAATTTGGCAAAGAAATGTATACCGGTGTTTGTGAAGCAGTTGGTGAAGAATCAGGACCATTGCGTACGTAACAACATCATTGTGACTGTGTGCGATCTTTGTATGAGGTTAGTCACATCACTCTTTTCAGAGCTGTGAAACTGGATTATGATCATCAAAATTTTTTGAATGTTTTCGAAGAAGCAGAGTTTTGGGTTTTGACTGCATCAGTTTAGCGTTCGGTTACCATCATCACCTGTATTATTTGCTCATCAGTGCAGATGTGGATATATTAACATGAATTAAATCGCTGTGTTGATTTGAAGGTACACACTATTGGTTGATCGGTACAGCTCGATTATTGCGATGTCTTTGAGAGATCGTTCGGCACTGGTACGGAAACAGGCACTGACATTGCTCACATGTCTTATCAAGGAGCAATACATTCGTTGGGAAGGACAGGTGATATTTTCATTCTGTTCGGCTTTTAATATTCCTCTTGGCTAATTTGCTGAAGTTGTTGTTCTGAAGAGAGTAATTGTTTTTGAAGTTATTCATTTACAATGATCTCAGTTTATGTATTCTGTTTATTTAAACATCACTAAGAGAGAAACTAGAAAATTATTTGATTTGAAACTATTTTCGTTGAGCAAATTTGTTAGAAGTGTCGGTGCTCTCTGACGTAACACTATCTTTCTTTTATAATTCAGCATTCTCGATTACTTCAGATAATGTACCGATTTGTATCCACTTTACTCGATGAAGACGGAGGAATAAGAGAATACGCCAAAATGTGTTTGGTAAGAGCTTGTTGATGAACTGATTTCTGTCTGTCAAAAATCCGATAGTTTTGAAGTGATGAACGTACTTTGCAAATAATATTAATAATTCCTGGAACATTGCTCGAATGCTTTCAATATTCAGTTGGATGTGCTCTTGGTGCAATTCCCGAAAATGTTCGAACATCATTTCGTTGAATGTCTCTTCTATTTCAATCGTGTCAGACAAGGAGCTTGGGCAATTATTAAAGCGAGTCAGTTCATTTCATCTCTTATTTATTGTTTCTTCATGGTGGAAGATTACTCCGAAAATGATTTTTATCTTCAGCCGATGACGAGGCAGAATGCAATCAAAAAAATCAGTGTTCACTAGCTGGTGAGAAACATCGCGAAGATCGTATGAAGCTTTACGTTTTCATGGTATCAATCGTTCACTGTTTATTCAGCTTCTAAATTCAACCGTTCTGAGTGTTATTGTTAAGATTTATCTTGTACTGAACATTGTTTTCAATCAGATGCATGCATTAATTGCGAACATCCGTTTCAGCTAAAAACATTCAACGATGAAAGTAAATTCAAGTTGATGGAACGTATCGGGCAAGAAGTGTTCTTGGCTGTCACTGAGAGTTCACTTGATCTGAGTAAAACTGAAGTAAAATATCTACTGCTCGACTGCTACAGCGTTAGTTTTCTCTTATGTTTTAATCTGATTTCTTCCTTACGATGCATAATAATTAACTATATAGTAGAACTCCTAATGATAGTGTTTAATAAATGCCAGCATTTATGAAGATGAACACCTCAAATTCTAATTCGTCCAAAGATAAAATTTACGATTTGAAGAGCGAATGCGATTTGTGATAAAATCGTTGATTGCAGGTGATGTGTAGTGGAGAGATCAAACTAAAGCATACACTGGGAAGTCGTGGACCGAATGCAGCTGAAGATGACGAAGAGGAAGCTCCCGCTGCCGTTCAGGTATCTCCTATCGATCATCTTTAATTTCGTTACTATCATTTATTTTTGTCATTTCGTTGTTTGAAGCCTCTTATGAAATTCATTACTGAGCATTGTTTATGTGTCAGTTTATAATTTCGAGTTATTATTTATAGGCTGGTGCCAAAAAAGTCATCTCTCAAATATTTCGTAAAGGTATTATCGAGGCGGTTTTACCGAGTGTCATTCAGCTCCGATACTATCTTCAGTCGAAATCCGAATTCTGTGTTTATGAACGAGGCATTTTGCTTGTGCTGAGGTCAGCATTTCAGATGGTTTTACATTTTGATTTATTGTATAAACTGCTCATTTAGACTGAATTATCCAAACGAAGGAAGGAAAGTTTGTATAATTTCAAAAGTTTCGTTTTGCATTCCATCGGTTCTCTCCGGTCTCTCAAACTTCTCTGAGAATTGATATGTGTATTCAGTCTTCGAGCATCGCACTTAACGTGCTTTCATATTTATTTTGCTCAATCAACGTGTAATATTCCTATCCGTGATAACTACGATTAGTATTGATGCCTTTAGAAACCTAGAAAAAAATTGCAGAGAACTTTGTAAAGATCATAAAGAGCAGCTGGATGAATTCTTGGCAAGTGATCCAACTTTGAAAGAGGAAATGAGATATGATCTCAAAAAACTTGAGGTTTTATTTCTTTCTATCTTATTGTTTTTCGATGTTCTCATTAAAAACAAACTGATTGTGTATTGTTGAGATTTGTATTTTAAAAAAAGTAATGTATAAAATGCGGAATGAATATAAACGAATAAGCGAAAAGAACCATAAATTTGTAACAATATGACGATCGTTGATGTTTATCTTCTTAATCGAAATGATGAACCGTTCGAATCCGACCTGAGATTTGAGGAGAAAGAAAAAGCCGAAGCAGAAGCGCAACAACGTTTGTTGATGTCAAAGGCGAGAAGCGCACGTCGCTCTGCCGCTATGAGACTCTCATCGACCCCATTAACTGCGACACGCCATCCTCGTGCCGCAAATCAACAACAACCAGTAACGCCTCTCGCTAGCAGACCCACATCGACAATCGGTCATTTGATGAGTTAAAATCGTTTTATATTTGCAACAATAAGTATTTGTTTGATTGCCATATTGCTCAGTTATCATTTATATTATTATCAATATGTAAATCTTCAGAGACAGCTACGCAAAATACGAGCGAACGAGTGGCAAGCATCATTCGGAACTCGTTACCGGCCATCCGTAATCGAGAACCACTGGAGCGTGTTGATGAAGAAGAGCAACCAGCTGCCGATGCTGCTGCTGCAGTTACTGAAGAAGGATCGATTCAGAAGGGAATTAGTGACGATGAACATGTGCAACCAACGGCAACAACGGACACCGCTGATGTTCAGTCATCGGCCAGTGAACAACCACAGACGGAACGGCAAACAGTTAGTGATTATTTGTGTTCGTCGAAGATTGTTGACAACAAATTTCGTGATGCTTTTTAAGTTTGGAGTGAATATTAGGGCATTGCTGAAATGAAATGGTGCGATAGTGATTAGTGATGGGATTCGACCGATAGTCGATCGGAATTTCGACGGTGGGATTCCGATCGAGCAATGTGGAAAGTCGGTCGGAATTCCGACTGTCGAAATGACGAAATGCCAACTCGGTCGGATTCCGATCGACCGAAATTTGGCTCCCACTCCATCACCAATAGTGATTCATTGCAGCATTCACCAGTGCAGGTGCCGTCGTCACCGCCTGCAGTCAATGCGGGACAGACAGCCTCCACTTCGACACCAGTGGCGTCCGTCTCGGCAGATCGTTCAGCAGCCAGAAAGAAGAGCTCCACATTGAGTGAAATATCACCTGAACGAATCCAAAGAGACAGTTCAGCAATGAACGCACGAGCTTTCTCAACACCAGCACATACGATGAATGAGGTAGGTGACCAATACACTCTCTCATCGTTGCATCTATCGTTATCGTTCAACTGCATCATTCTGACTTATTCATAAGTGCTCAAATCAATTCGAAACAATTTTGTTTGCTTCACTCGTTATGCACTCAGACTGTATCCCGTTCAGAATTGTTGAAAGCATTTGGGATGCAGTCGAATAATCGACAGTCAAATACTGATTCATAAAAAAATGATTGATCTTATTTCTTAATTGTGCGTTTTAGTAATGAAAGTTTTCATTTAAGTTGACGTTCCGTCTGAGTGATGTGTCCGCAATTCTGCAATCACCTCCCAAAAAACGTTCGTTTTGTAGCATTTCTTTTTTTTGTTGATTGTGAACAATATTTGTTGTAGAATATTCTCAAATAATTTATGTCTATTGTTCAAATAAATTTGCAACGAATCAGTGTGGATTGATGTTGAAAAAAAGTTGTGATTGTTAGGAATCGGTCGAAAATTCGATAACAGTGAA